CCATGTTTATTACATGTTTATAACTTGATGTTAAGAACATATTAGAATAGACTTAACACACAACTTGGGAGAAAAGCTGACATTCTCCACTGAATGGGTTAAAAAGGAATGTAAAACTACAAAATACTTAAGTGTGAGTTTCAAATTATGGCAAACAGAACAATGAATACCTTGTCATTTTTTAAATTTTCCAACATTAATTTCATTATAAAAATTGATAACAATTTAAGAAGGGAAAATAAGGGATACTCACAAAAGCCATTTTACTTTAGTTATAGGGCACAAATAAGAGTCTTAACACAGAAATCCTACCTCCAATTTAAAATGTAAATACTTGATGATATAATGAATCAAGGAGGATTAATTAATGTGAATTGAAAATCTAATGACTTAAATCCATAAATGCCATTTGTTTTTGTCTGAAAGAGTTAGGCTGATTTAAGGGTGACACACAGCAGAGTTCTATTTGACATTCATGTTAACCATTTGGTGCTCAGAATGAAGATGGCCAAATACTAAGTGCTTAGTGACAGAAAGTCAGAATTAATCCGTTCCAAGTGACTGAGAGCCAATAGAATTAATCTCCATCTCCTGATTTATGGTTAACAAATGGATAGCTTTTTTCACTGCAAGTTTCAAAATGAAACTCTGTTCTGCAGCTGGTGAAATTCACAGAACATAGAGAATACTGTCTGTAGTATAATTTCAATGTTTAAATGGTTTAAATACAAAATTATGGGTGATTATCAAAACTATTATTGGTAATAGTTTATTTTGATTCTGTACACACCCCTTAGCACATTTTGTGAAGAAATGTGTTTTTTAAAATACTACTTATGTTTACTCAAATACATTAAAAATCATTTTAAAATTATTTTCTACCATGGATTGCAGAAGACTCTTACTAAAAGTGAATAACGCTTATTGTTCTCACTAAGTGTTTATAGAGAATCATCTGAAAAACATATTCTTTCTAATACCACTTAGAAAAAACATTTAATGAAGATAACTCACTTCTAATTACATTATTCTAGTGATAAAACATTTCTTCATGTAGCTATTTGAAACAGATGATTTATGGGTTTTCAATTTTTAAATTTCTCACTTAATGTCATGTTAAAACGTTTCTAAATCAGTGTTCCAGTATCAGATGCTTAAATGAGAAAAAAAGGACAAAAGAGAAAATTCCGTATCAATCATTTAGCCTCCTCCCTTCCCTAGAAAACATTTCCCTTTAAATGCAAGGCACACTCCATTTCTTAGAACAGAGATCAGGAAAATTTTGTGTGATTGTTTGTAAAGGGCCAGATAATAAACATTTTGGTCTTTGTGAATCTCATTCGGCTTCTATTGCAGCTGTTTACCTTTGGCTGGTGTAGTGGGAAAGCAGCTGTAGACAGACTGCACTTATTAAAAAAAAAAACAACAAAATCCAAATTTGACCTTCGGGCCAACTGCTGCCTCAGAAGAACAGATCTGCATATATAAAAGAATCATTTGAAAGAAACTGGTCTCTAGTCAGATGCGATGTCTGATTCAGATTCAGAATCTAGTAGCTAATCACTCTAGAACATTTTGATGTCAAGCACTTTGAATTTAGCCAATTTTCTGTTTTAGTTAAGATTCTTCTATTGAAACACATGTCATGCTTTTCATTGGAGATAATTTATCTTTATTTAAGAATGTGCTTAGGTATTATTTATTGAGGGGATTCTGTTTAAAATTAATAAATAGTGTCCATACAATTTAATATCCAATTTAATTTTTAAAGATAATAAAAATATAATAGAATCAAAACATTTAAAATAAGTACACTCAGTACCCACTCTGATAATTCATTTAAGTCACATCAACTATAGCATATGAAAAATAGGCCAGGCGTGGTGGCTCACGCCTGTAATCCCAGCACTTTGGGAGGCCGAGGTGGGCGGATCACGAGGTCAGGAGATCAAGACCATCCTGGCTAAGACGGTGAAACCCTGTCTCTACTAAAAATACAAAAAATTAGCTGGGCGTGGTGGCGAGTGCCTGTAATCCCAGCTTCTCAGGAGGCTGAGGCAGGAGAATGGTGTGAACCCAGGAGGCGGAGCTTGCAGTGAGCCGAGATCACGCCACTGCACTGCAGCCTGGGTGAGAGCGAGACTCCGTCTCAAAAAATAAAAAAATAAAAAAAGGAATATGAAAAATGAATTCAGAAGTGTAATTACTTTAAAGTACACTACTTCCACTTTTGTCAGTATTTTACATTTATGTATATATTCTATAGTGGAAGCAGAAATTCTCTCTAAACACATTATCTCCTAAAAATCTTGAGGTGCCTATTAGAGCCACAGGCAATCTCTGACATACAAAATTGCAGTACAGGACTTTCAAATTTGGCATTTCACTGATACAATACAACGACCAAGATATATAATCACTGTAAAGTGCCTAGACATTCCAGTAAGAATCATTATTTTCTTTAATGTGGAATGATTAATATGTATTCCACAAGGGCCACTGCTGTTAGTAATTCTATAGGGTATGTCCTGATATAATTTTCAAATTGTACAATAACATAAACAACTTTGTTAAGGCCATATTTTATTTGCTGATTAATGGACAAAAGGCAGTGTAATTTATTTTCAACTATTTTCTTGAAAGTCTGTGCTCATAAAAATCATGAAATGTTGGAAGAACTGTTAAATTACTGAAACTTTAAATATATCTTACACAATCTTGTTTGTACAAAAATACAAGTTAAATATAAACAAAGCAATCATGAAAATTTTATGCAAATCTGTTTTATGTGAAACAGTTAAATATAAAAGTTATATATATCAGTTATATATAAAAGTTTCTCAGTTCTTTGTGAAAAGATCAATACCAGATTGAATGACTAACTATTGGCATAGGGCCCTAAAAAGCTTACTTTAGCACTGATCTTTTACATGGTTAAGGGCATTTCCTAATTTGAGATCACCTAAACATTGGGGAAAAAAATGAAAGGGCAGTATGTCCATAAACCAACAAATAATTTGGCTGGAGTGTATCATAAAACACAAAGAAACCCCACACATCTGTACAATAAACATGTATTACACACACACACACGCAACACGCACCCAGTCATAAAACAAAGCCTAATGAGATGCTGCTTCCAGTTCAGTATTCACCTGTGCATTTTTTTTACTTCATCAGTTGAGTAGCCTTTTGTCACCTTGCCATTCTTGAAGACGGTGTGGAGATCATGACCATATTCCTCACGGTCTCCTTTTCTTTCCTCCAGTGTAGCAAAATTCTCTGCTGGCATCCTATGTAAAGATAATTGTCCCTTTGGGACTTTTGTTGGAATTCCACTCGCAGGAGCCTCAGGCTGTATCTACCTGGCCAAGTTCACCTCAATGGTGGAGGCAACCAGGCCTGCCTTGGGAACCCAGGGACCTTAGCCTCAGTCTCTTCATATTTAGAAAAGGACTTTTCGTATTTTGAAAAAACTGAACACAAGGAGACAGCAGCCCTTAGTGATGAATGAGGGCTGGAGCAGGTTTGGGGTGCAGCAGCTGTGTGCCAGGTGGGCGTGGGCAGGAACCTCTCAGACTCAGTTTCCTCATCCCTGAGTAACAACAAAAACAGTAACAATAAAAGTGTTGACATTTACAAGGTGTTCAAAAGATTATAGAATATTATGTGTAGAAATCAGCTGCACCATCCCTGATAAAGTCAGAACCCAAGAAATTCCAGCTCCTACTTCTTCCATCATCATCTCTAGGAAGTAAGGTTATGAGAGTTTTACTGAGCAACACTTTTTCCTCATTTCTCTTAGCAACATCACTAGTAACTTTTAAACACCAGCAAGCCAAATGTCCGATGCAAATGAAATCCTGCCCTTAAAGAACCATGGCTGGGCAGATGGGCCCAGGTGTGGGCCCCATGATGGTCAGCGGAGGGCAGGAGGCTGGATGGCCCTGGGCACTCTGCCCAGTGGGAAATTGAGCCCTCTCCTCCCAGAGACTCAGACAGGCCAGAAGAAGGCACTGAGGTGGCCTTCCAGGAAGCAGAAGGCTAGAAGGCCTTGCAGGGGACCCTGACTAGCCTTCAGGGCACCTGAGAGGGCTGGGCCTGTGCCAGCTTCCCTCACTTCCGCCTCTCCACAGGAGAACCCGGCAGCAGGTGGCAGTTGGGTCTGAGGCTGCCAGTCACTCACCAGGGGCTGTGGGTACCTTCAGTATGGCTGGTTTTGAAGAAGTGGCTCAAGTAGATCCTTGGGGAGCAACTTTCTCATTATCTGGAACGTCTCACTCCAGGCCCAGGTGTGGAGGGGAGTCACGGAGGGAGACACGGGCTCGCCTGTGCTTGGGACCTCCTCTGTGATGTGTTTTCTTCCACCTCCCCATGGACAGGACCAGATGCCCTAACGATCAGCCCAGTATGGAGCCTACAGGAGTGTGAACAGAACCATCTGGCACCCAGGAAGGAAGCGGGTGCCTGGTGAACACAAGGCCAGGCCCCAGGCCCCTGTCCAGAAATGTGCTCCTTGCAGCCCAGTCTCGAGGTGGAGGTGTCCTGTGTGCACACGCAGTCCATGGTGTGTTCTCCCTGGGGGTCATCCAGCTGCACATCTAGGACAAGGTGGCCATTGCTCTGGACACTGTGACAGGCAGGGGATGGGGAGATGGGGTAGCCCACGAAGCTCAGTGCCCTGCCTTGGGCCCCTTCTGCTCCGAGGCCTCCCTACTCTGGGTTCTCTGCACCCTGAGACACTGCCCTGAAGTCAGACAGAAGCAAATGAGCTCCTCTGCCAAGGCTGCCCTCTCCCATGCTGACTGATGACTCCCTAGAGGGGGACTCACGCACCAGGGGCTGGGGACAATTTCTCTGGGTGGATGCCCTGGAGTTCAGGCTGGCCGGTGCATCCCATTCCTCCATGTGCATGAGACAAAGCACGGCAGAAATGACACAGGCACCACCTTTTCTTCTGCATTCCTCCAAAGTGGTTTCTGCAGGTCCCGCCGATACGGTTAAGTAGCTCCACTAGGGAAGGGCTTTTGGAAGCGGTGCTGGTAGGTTTGGGGTTGCAGTGAGAGGAACTACAAGGTGTCCAAAAGGTACAAGGTGTCCTACAAGTTTCCAGGGTACACCATGGAACTACAAGGAGAGGGTGGTCACTGAGCAGATGGCTGGGTGTCTGCCTACGGACCCAGAACCGATGACATATCGGGGAATCATGGCTGGCTGGCAGGGACTCACTGATTCAGGTGAAAGCCCGGTGTGGATGCGGTGTTGCAGCCTTGCAGGTCCTCAGCCATGATCACAAACAAGCAGGTGAGGTTTCCGTGCCTCCTGCAATCTTCAGAAGGTGGGTTTTGGCTGCTTATGGTGAGCACTTTCAAGCACTGCAAAGGATGCAGAAATGGCCCAGCACAAATGCACCAGGAGTCCTAGAGTGTGGCCCTCCACCCCACCAAAGAGCCTCTTTCTTGCTTCCCCTGGCAGTCCTATGTTCCAGTCACAGTTCTGGGACTGCAGGGGACGCCATGGCTGCTCCTGGCTCTGTGGATGGATGGATGTACTCAGGTGGTGTGCCACTGAGGGGCTCCATCTTCAAGCCCTTCTGAGGGCCCCCAGGGCACTGTTCAGCACAAGATAAGGACATTCAGGGCCAGCTGTCTTTCTCCCTAAATGTGGTCCTGGACTTGGTACCTCCCCACACCACTCCAGTGGGAAGCCCTGGTCCTCAGCCCCTTCATCAGTCCCTGGCCTCCATGCTCCCTGCTCTTCTGTCCAATTCCCAGCCCCAGTGCCTCGTTCACCTCCCATGTCACCCCCAGTGAAAATGCTCAGGAAGGATAAAAAGCTACCCTCAGCCCTGTTGGAGGCATCAGATGGGTCCAGGTTTGTGCTCTTGTGCAGGTCTCCACCGTGGTCCACTTGGATGTGGGCCTCACACAGAGTACAGGGCTCTGTCGGGAAGTGATGGGGGGGTGGGGTTCCCAGGGCCCTGCACTATGGAACAACCACCTAGCACAGAGCAGAGTTTTCGGGTGTGTTATCATGTGTGCTTCAATATTCAGCTTGAGGCTTTTATTTTCAAATTCCACCATGAACACTGAAATCCTGCTTTACACACACACACACACACACACACACACACACACACACATATCTGCCTGTAGGTGAGCAGGGATCCTTGTTTGCAAAGATCCTTCTCTCAAATGGCTTCAGAGGACACCCAGGCCTTGGGAAGCCCACAAGGCCACCTCCTCTGTGTGGGCCCGTGTCTCAGGTGGGCAGGGCCATCAGAGCTTCAGGCCTCCACACCCTCGCCCTGCTCTCCTGGGGCAGCCCCCCATGCAGCGGTGGCCTGAAGACTTCCCAGGGTCCCCAGCTTGAGCACTGCCCCTGCATGTGTTTTGTGGGAATTGGAATGGCAGTTATTTAGGGGGAGGAGAGAGGATCTATGATCAATTGTGTGTGCCGTGGAACTACAGACCTTTTCCACAATTGCTCTTAACAAGCAGAGAGAACCTGGGATCCTGAGTGGCTTCTTCCTGAAAAACCTGACTCCGGTAAGAGCAGAGTTTACAACCAATGCAGTCTCACCAAACCCGCTGACGGTGCTGGATCAGGCTGACTTCTGCACCAGGAGCTGCAGGGCTTTTTGGTTTTCTTAGGTGACTTGTCATTTGTCCTTACAGAATTCCATCGGGCTGATTTCCAGCCTGGCTTGGTACTCCCTGATATTTTTAGCATCAGGACTGTTTTTTAACCCGTGGACCATGAATTTGGAAGGTGCAGGTGTGATGGCCTGAGAGGCAGAGCTGTGCTCCAATCCTGCCCCCACGTGCTCATCTGTGACACAGAGACCCCAGCAGGGCGGGCACCTCCAGGAGCCCTCCCCTGAGCAGGCCACCCAACTTCCAGACCAACCTCCACCTTGCACAGCACTGAGCCCTCCTGCAGCTCCTGGACACTGTGCGGAACTGAGAAGTGCTCCAGTGTGTTGTACTCTGGGTGCAGCAAGAAGCAGGTGTAATGACACGGGACTCCGTGGCCCATGAACGCCTGGTGGATCTGCTGCTTCATCTCCTGGGGGAAGACTTCTGCCAGTGATAAGGCCCCTAGTACCTTGAGGAAGAGGCCATGTGGCAGGGAGAAAGGACGTGCTCCCTTGTCCCCAGCCCAAAATACCCAGATCCCAAGAATCAATGCCCAACATACTCAGTTTCCCACTTTTTGGCTTACATTCCAGGTCCTGGAGGTTCACACCATGCCCACCTGCTCGTGTGTGTGTGCTGGATGGAGCCTGGCCCAGCTGGCTATTCCTGAGGCCAAGTGTAACCCCTGAGCAGAGTAGGGGGGCATGGAAGAACAAAGGGAGGGAAAAGAACAGCCTTGTCTCCTCCCTAGCCCAGTACTCATGGCCCCAGGCAAAATGGCTTTCACCTTCCATTAGAGGAGCTCCAAGGCCCAACCCTGGAGACACAGAGGATATGAGAGGTCTTCATCTGGTTCCCCTTTGAGTTAAAAGCATGCAAGACCTCTGGGCTGGCTCTGCCCTTGGAGACCACCCAACACCACCTCCCCTCTGGCAGATGGTGAAGTCATGGCCCAGAGAAAGGTGACTTCCCTGAAGGCAAAGAGCAAGAGTCTGGGGAGTCCTGGGACCCCTATCCCACCAGCCAGCCACTCCCACTCCTTTCCCCAAACAGGCCTGGCAGGTCCAGATGGTAGCTGTCCTCTAGCAGTGGGGCAGTGACCTAAGTCTGGACCCCATTCCCAGGTCCAGCACACTGGCTGAATGACCCTGGGCAAGGCACAGGACTCTCAGTTTCCTGCCTTTGATATGGGGTCAGAAGGATCATGGGTAAGACTGGGTATTTTAGCCTCATCCTCCCCAGCAGACTCAGGCCTGGTCTCCAGCATGCCTTCCTCCACCTCACTTGTGAGAGAAGGGCTCTATCCTGAAGGCCAGGGTCTTCACAGAAAAGCCCATGTTCTGAATGACAGTGACTTCCTGTCCTGGGGTCTTATCTCCCAACTTGACCTCATCCAGTCTACCTTTTCTGAGTGACTTGGCTGCCCCAGCCGCCTCCTTTGAGTTCTCTGGGCAGTCACTGTTCAAAAGCATGACTGATGGTGGCTCTGAGGGTAACAAGGATAGAGCTGAGTCAGATGGGCTTAGTTGGTGAGGGAAGGCAGACCACCTCTCTCCCCCTCAGGGGGCATGTGCTTTATGGAACAGTGTCTGCATGCCCTCCTGAGTCTCTGCCCCAGAGTCCCACCCCACCCTTCACACCCCTGCAGTCCACTGCCTCCTCCCTCCCACATCCTGAGCCCTCCGTTCCCATCTCCTTCTCCTCCGCGCACCACAGCATGGCTGCCACCTCAGCACACTGCCCAAAGCATTCTCCCCAGGGTCACCAATGCCAGTGTTAGGGCCCAGCCCAAAGATCTTCTCCAGCCCTGATGTGTGTGACTTCTCAGCAGCACCCCACGCCACTGCACACTCCCTCCTCCTCTTCCCTGACCAATGCAACACCCCTGTCCCTCCCTCTCCGGTTCCATCTCCTTACACCAGTCCTGAGCAGGGGATGGAAGGAGACAGCTGCCTCCCAGGCATCACATGTGGCTGGCATTTACGCATCACTGAAGACTCATCTTGTGGGGATGGGATTTACCTTCCTCCACAAACTGGCCGCTGCTCTGTGTGAGTCCCCCTTCCCTGTTGAATCACTCACCCTAAATCTCCCAAACGACTGATGGGCACCAACCTCTGTGGCCACAGCCCTGGGATGGGCATTTCTCCTGTTTTAAGAGTGCCACTTGGAACCCCTCTAATAAGCCCACTGCTCTCTAGGTCAAGCTTGTTAAGCCAGCACTCTCAGGCACCAACCTAAAGCCAGCCTCAGTTCCTACCTGCTTCCCACCTAGCTTTAGATGCACCAAAGCACAGAAACCTGAGGACCCTGCCCCTGCCCTCCCACCTCTGTACTTCTGTCCAGGCTGCCCCTTGTGTCCCATTCTTTCAGGCACACACACTCATCCTTCTAGGCCTATGGGAAATACTCCCTCTTCTCAAAAGTCCACCCGTATGACCACTGATGGCAGAATTACACCTCATCCCCCAACTTACAGGCTGTGAGGAGAACTGGGAGTAGGTGACAAAGCCTTCCAATCTTACCTAGGCACCAGGGGAACAATGACAGCCCCTCCATGCCCTTGGGACTGGGACCTCCTCTCAGAAACCCTCCAGCAAACACAGGCCTGCCTGAATGCCCACTGGGCAAATGGGGACCTGAGCCCCAGGCTGTGCCCGTCAGTCAGGCAGGCCTGCTCGGCTTGGCTGGGAGCTTAAAGTTCCCAGCTCTGAGCAGGGTCCGGGCTTCCTTCCAGACAGAACAGCTCACCTAGCTCCACCCATCCCAGCCAGCCCCACCTCCTCTTCCCTACCCAGCTCTCAGCAGTGGGGTTAGGGTGCTCTTCCCAGAACTGTGTGGGCCCAAACCAGACCCATTGGAAGCATGGAGCAGGAGCCTCGGACAAGGGATTCGCCAGTACAGAAAGGCACACCAGGGACTTGAAGAGAAGCCACTCTCCCTCCGCTGTATCCCATGACATAGAAGAACTAGGACCTCCAGGAGCTCAGATATCGTCCCCTCCCCTCCTCCTCACTCCATTAAAGCGTATTTGAGGCCCAGAAAGGTTCAGAGCCTGGCCCAAGGTCACCGGGCAGAAGAAACCCAGGATTCCCCTCCACAGCCACACCCCCACACTGCTGCACTGCCCGAAACCCTGGCCACTGCGGACCTTCAATAACTGCATCTGCTGTCACCCCTCCATGAAACTCCCAAGAACCAGGAGGACGCACAAGGACTTCCTCTCCCTTCCGGCGACCGGACAGCCCCAGGCAGGGTAACCCCAAGCTCTTGGCAAGTGAGCCGCCCTGGCCAACAGTGAAAACCTGCCTGACTCTAATGACTGAGCAGACAGGAGGAGAAGGGGCAGCGACAGAACAGACGGGAGGAGGAGGGGCAGCGACAGGGCAGACGGGAGGAGGAGGGGCAGCGACAGAGCAGACCGGCGGAGGAGGGGCAGTGACAGGGCAGACGGGAGGAGGAGGGGCAGCGACTGAGCAGACGGAGGAGGAGGGGCAGCGACTGAACAGACGGAGGAGGAGGGGCAGCGACAGGGCAGACGGGAGGAGGAGGGGCAGCGACAGGGCAGACGGGAGGAGGAGGGGCAGAGACAGGGCAGACGGGAGGAGGAGGGGCTTGACAGGGCAGACGGGAGGAGGAGGGGCAGTGACAGGGCAGACACCAGGAGGAGGGGCAGAGATCGGTTGGCTTTCAAGAAGCAGCAACAGGAAGGGTAGATAGGAGGAGGAACTTCCCCTACCGGGTCCCCGAGAAAGGCTGTCTGACTGGCACACCCCTGGAACAAAGGGAGAAGCAGGAAGGGCCCCTGCCCATTGTGCAGCAGCGGTTTTGAGCTCTGAGATCCCGGAAGTAGGGAGGCAGAGACCTGGCCCTAGAGAAGCAGCCTGTGCTCCTTGGCGTGTCTAAAATGGGAGGCACAGAGGAGGGGAGGGAAGACAAGGCCAGGTGGCCACAGGCTCCATCCTCCCTCCCCAGGCCTGGGATCCTACCACCTGCAGAGGGCATCCATCCCCTGATCAGATTTCAGAGGCCTCCTTTTGCCCATGAGGGTCTGTGCCGCCTGTCCTCCTTCCTCTGGAGAACACTGAAGGTCTCCTCATCTCTGGGTGAAGGCCTGCGGACCTCCTCAGTGAGAGAGTAGCCAACTTGTTCAGGCGGCCTCCACTGCTCACCTGGTAGGACCCTCTCCTGGGCCCTGGGGTCTCAGGATGGCCATAGTAGCAAAGTAGCCAGCTCTGTGGCCCGGGACTGGTACCACCTGTGTTCCTCACTACTGTCTCTGCTGCTACCCTTGCCCTAATGCAGCTGGTGAGCCTGAGCTGGAGCTCGAGCTGGCTTCGTGCTTCAGTGGGATCCCACCTGCCAGGACAGCCCCAGGAAGGGTGCACTCCCCTTGCCTTGCATCCAGCTCTAGGTTGGCTAGAAGGATGGCTGTGGGCCAGGAGGCCACAGTGGCTCCAGGATACCAGGAAGGACAGCTATCTGCATTCGGGCCCATCTCCCTATACCCCCAGAAAGGAGCCACTGCTGGCAAGGCCACTGGGGGACAGGAGAACCCAGCGTTTGTGGCACCTGGACCCCTCAAGATTGAGGCCTAGGAGACTGACTGACAGGGGCAAGTCCCAGTAGTGGGGTCCTCTGCTCAGCTTCCACCCCAGAGGGTCGGGCAGAACTGCTTTGGCAACAGTTCATGCAGACTGCGGCTCAGGCCCTGAGGGTCTGCCCCAGTCTGCCAGTCACAGGCACTGAGCATCTCCTCTGCCTTATGGGCCTAAGGGCTGGCTGGGACCTCTGGTTCCTGCTGCCTCCTGCAGGTGCCCTGACAGTCACCTCCTTCCTGAGAGTCACTGGTGCTGGTGAGATGGAGGGGGATGGAACCCCCCATCCCTGTCTCCCAGAGGACAACTGCACTGGTCCCCCAGGCCTCTGAGTTCCAACTGAGAAGCTGGTGGCTCCACCTTCCCATCTTCGCAGCCCCTTCCCCACCAGGAGGGAACCAAGTCTCTCCCAGGGGGACCACAGCTGGCAGCAAGAGACCAAGGGCAGCTCAGCTGTAGAGAGGGAGCATGCCCAGCTCACCAGGGTGCCTCGTCTGTCCCTCTACTGTGCTGCCAAGCCCCCATCAGGACAGCTCTGGCATTCATCCTAACCAGGTGAAGTGGGAGCCAGGCTCTCCCTCCATCCCTGCCCCTCCAGGCCCAGGGACCCAGGGTCCTCTCCATAGCCCCCACCAAGGGTTCTGGGCCTCATACAATGACCAGATGGGAAGAAGGGCCAGGCCTAGGCAGAACCCCTCTCCTACCCCTTCCCCAGATTGAAAAACAAATAGGTCATTTCACGTGTCATAATTTTGTATAAATATGTGTAAGAAATTTATTGAAAACCCATATGAATTAATAAGTTAATCAGATACAATCAGATACAACATCAAGATACAAAGTTAAATTGTACTATTGCATAAAATCAGTTATTCTAAACATTAAATGAAGACAAAATTTCCATTGGTAAAAGCATTAGAAAGGAAGAAATACTCAGAAATAAATGTAGCAAAATAAATGCAATGACTTTATGGTGAAAAATTATTCCAAAATGCTAAAAGTAATCAAAGAACTGAATATGTTGAGTGACATCAATATTCAAGAATAACAATACTTACTATTAACATCAAAATGCTAAAAGCTGCTTCTATAGATTCAATGCAAATTCCCAAGTTTTGTCAATAAAAATTGTAAAGCTCTTCCTAAAATGCATGTGGATATGCAACCAAAATAAAATAAATGCAATTTTTAAAAAAAGAAAACAAAAAATTTAATGACTTGCCCTGCCAATATCTTTTTATTTTTGTTTTTCAGCAACAGGGTCTTGCTCTGTCACCTTGACTGGAGTTCAGTGGCACAATCACAGCTCACTGCATCCTGGAACTCCTGGGCTCAAGCGAGCTTCCCACCTCAGCCTCAGGAGTAGCTGGGACTACAAGTTTATGCCACTCATTCTGCTAACGTTGTTTTTTCTTGTAGAGATGAGGTCTTGGTGTGTTGCCCAGGCTAGTCTCAAACTCCTGGGATCAAGCAATTATCCTGCTTCAGCCTCGCAAAATGCTTGGATTACAAGTGTGAGCCACCATGCCCACACAACCAATATCAATCTTTATTGTAGTGTTATAGTCTGGTACTAACATGAGTATAGATTCATGTAGGCGAATAGGACAGAAGGGCAACTAATAAACATTAATTTATGATAAATTGATTGTGTCACAGATGCCAAGAAATTGTAATAGGAAAATAAATGTAATTTCAAAAAATTTTGCTGGGAAAACTAAATATTCACTTTGCAATAGGATAAGGTGGACCCCTAACTCAAACCGCAGCTGCCCAAAACTACTCAAAAAGGATAATCTATCAACATGTAAGAGGTAAAACACAAAATTCTTTGGAGAAATCATACAGTTAATATTTGTATTCTTGGATTACATAAATATGTCTAAGATATTATACCAAAGACACATTTTTTAAAAAAAAGATGAATTACACTTTATTGAATCAGAAACTTTTGTTCTTAGAACATCAAAAAGAAGATGAAAAGCTATGCTGCTTAATGGGAGAAAATATTTTAAATTGTATATATGATTTGGGTATATTAGAGTTTATAAAGAATATTTTTAATACATATATATATAATCTCATTTATATATGGAATCTTAAAAACTAAACCCAGAGAAGCTAGTGTGTCGAGTATATAAAAAACTCTTATCAGTCAACAATGAAACAACTATTGACCAACTAAAAATGGACAAAATATTTGAATAGACGTTTTCCATAGAAGATACACAATTTGCCAATTTGCTCTATTTCATGAATTGCTAAAAAAAAAAAAATACAAGTCATACCACAATTAATACTAGTTGGGACCCACTAGACAGGCTATAGCAAAGATACAATGACAAATGTTAGAAAAGAAGTGGAGAACATGGAACTCACATATGCTCTAAATAGGAATATAAAATATTCTGCCACCTTGAAAACAAAACAATACGAAATGAAATTGTGGCTATCCCTCAAAATGTTGCACATGAAATCACTATGGGACACAGAAATTCTAACCCAAAGTAAGTGTGCAAAGCAAATGAAATTCCTATAATCATACAAAGACTCTTATATGAATGCTCATAACATGTGGTTATGTCCATGCAATAGAACACTACTTGCCATCCAAGAAGAATGATATAATGATGCAAGCTACAACAGAAGTGAAACCCAAAAATATTAGGCTAAGTGAAGGAAACCAGACCCAAAAGACCACATAATTCATGATCCTGGCTATTAGAAACTCTGATAATAGGCTCATCTATAGAGACATAAAATTGATTGTTGTCTAGATCTGACACAGCAAAGGTGAATGCAAATAGGATGCGTTTTCCTCTTAAAAGATACAAATATTCTAAACTTAGGTGGTAATTAAGCTCGCATGGCTCTATAAGTATACTAAACAGCTTGGAGTTGTACTTAAAATATGTGATCATATTATATAAAATGTACCTCAGTAAAGCGTTTTAAAAAATCAACACTAAGGTTGTTTTTTAGACTTTCAGAAACCCCAGTCACAGATTGTGAAAATGAAATCTCTTTCTTGTCCATTTCAAAGCATAATAAAAGGGAGGCAGCAAGCTAACACGCAAAGGTTTGGTCACCGATGCAGGGGTATTAATGGGCAGGAACCATGTGATTCGTTTAACCAGGTCAGAGAAGCAAAAGAAATGATAGTCATTTATTGAAGACCACTCTGACTCGCAGATTGTTAGGAACGTGAAAGCTGTACTCATAGGGCTGGGCATATTTCTTATCAAACACAGCTCAAAAGAGCCGTCTCACAGAAAGGTTATCAACGACTCTCCTCTCCGCAGGTGCCTGGAGTTTTACAGTTGTCTACCGCCAGTCCTAAAACTGCATCGTAGTCATTCATTTGAAACCCAATGTAACACTCAAATCCAACACCAAACCCCACATTTCATGACTATCACATTCAATAATTTGCCTCTTTTTTTCTTCAATTTTTGGCCAGCCCTCTGCATTCCCTCTGTTTGTAGCCCTACCTGGGGCCGCTGGTTCTGGAGCAAAATTGTCCACCTCGGGAGCTCGGGCTGCTGGTCCGTGTTCTGCACCGGGCGCCCTCGTTGGCCTCGTTGGCCCGCGCAAGAGCTGTGGGGCTGGCTTGGCCCTCGCAGGGACCTCGCAGGGATGGTCCCTGACAGTCCCAGGAGCCCGCGGTCGCGCCCCAGGGGCTCGGATCTGCGCGGAAACTGCGCTTGGCAGAGAAGGAGCAGGGGGACGCCCATCCCACCCTCCGCTCTGCACTGTTGGCCAAGAAAACCCAATTCCAATTCCGAAATAAAAGGATGCAGAGGTGCGCCACTAGCTCCCTCCCTTCCTGCTGCAGGCCCTAAAGGGGTGGCCCCGCTATCCCCCAGGCTGGAGGAGCTTCCCCAGCCAGGAGTCCCGAGACTCCCCAAACTGCATTTGCCAAGCTCCAGGTGAGGCAGGCAGGAGCCTGGGCCTCCTGGCCGAGTGGAGCGTGGCGGTGGAGAGGGCGAAGCCGGTTTCATTTCCTTCCTCCGGGACCCAGGAAGGTCTGGCGCCAGGAGAATACCCGGCCCGGGTAGGGGCGACCTCAGGAGCTCCAAGCATCTGTCTCCCAGAAGCCCTACAGAAGGGCCCTGCAAGACCTGACCTGCTGAGGTCCCTTCCTTCCACCCTTTACCCTTCGGGGGACCTGTTATTCCCCCGCGAGCCCCACTAGGGTAATTCCGCGCAACCCCCAATGGCCCCCGGCCTTAGAGCACCCTCGAGTTTTCCCAGCCTAGAACGTGGGGACTCCACAATTATTCCCCTCCAAAGACTCCTCCCATACCTGTCTCCTGGCATCAGCGACGCTGACACACCACGGAGACCGCCCAGGCTGCCCCCTTCCCGGCCCCAACCACCTCGGAGTCTCCACAATGACTTCCCTACGTCAAGGACTGTGCTGAGACCCTGCACAGCCGCCCGGACGCAGAGGATAACCCTCCAGCACTCCCTCAGACATCCCGCCCACCCTACAGGGGAGACCAGGCCCCACCCTCCACTCAGGCGATGGCTTCCCCCAACCACCCCTACAAAGATGCTTTTCCGGAGACTCCGCACAGGGAGCCTATGTCACACAGGGGCGACCCTATGAATCCCTCCGCAGACATCCTCGGGCCCTCTCCACAGGGAGACCACACAAGCGGAGAACTCCCCTGGAGAGGATCCCCAGACACCGTCCTCACAGCCACCACCACAACCAGAAAGACCCAAGGGAGAATTGTGGCCACGAAACCCATGTCCACATACTCACTCCTCCAGGCCGCCATCTCCAGGACCCCCACTCATGGCCACTTCACCCCATGGTGACCTCAAAATGCTCTCTCTGCATTGCAGGGAAAAGAAAGGGAGCGTCCAGTCAAACTTCCAGAAGGAGAATCCATTTTCCTTTAATTTGTTATGCGCTGGAGCTCAAGTGCAGAGCAAGAAGGGTTTTATAGAAAATTTCAAGTTCTTATGTATAGGTTTGCATGGAAATTTAAACATTTAATGATAGGGATAGTAGATAATAAATACATCCGAAATACATTATCACTAGGCTTCAGAAATTCTTATTTTGCCTTTCATTTTCAACTATCGACTCCAAATATCCTAGTAGTATTTTAAATCATATCATTAATTTTGGAAGAATTAAAGTAAGTGTATCTAACAGGTGAAGATAAAAAAGAAAACATCATTATCACATCTAATACAATTTTTAACAGATCAATTTGTGTATTCACCAAAGAGTAGACTCTACAATCACTGAAGGCTTTGCATGAAATGTTTTCATAGGTTTAGTCTAACATTTCATCTTCAGACACAAAATGTCAGTACATGAAAATATTCAATTACATACAAAGGGCCATAGATTATGGTTGGAAGAGGAAGTCACAAATCGATAGTGGGATATTCCAAACCACTGCACTGTGAAAGTAAACGCAAGAAAGAAAATAGGGATTCCTATTGTTCCTGATAAAAGGAAAGGAAAGGTAACGCCCAGAGAGCCACTCCCTCACTTTGCCATATTCAAACGTCTAGAACAAGCCACAGGTTTGGCCGTACCCAAGGAAAGATGAGGATTCAGGGTGTAACGAAAGACAGCAGGGATCATGGGGCATCTTATATTTCTGCCCCCAACATCTACCCTTGCACTAAAACTTGATCTAACATCTCACATTGGTGGGGATCTGGTGTTCTTGTAAGAAAAAAAAACAGTCTCAGAAAGTGTTTCCCTTGTAGTCTCTGAGGCAGTTGATCCTCAGCACTTTCTATTTTGGAAGCCAGAAAGTTATTTCTTGATTGAAAAGGGGGGCAGTCCTTTGCACCACAGGATTCCCATTGTGGACTGCATGTCAGTGGGTGCCACCAGTTATTACAACCAATGTCTGGGCAAACTTCCTCAGGCTGCAGAAGCCACCGCCATGAGAACCGCTGCTCCTCTCCATATGTGAACAGACTGACAGATGCAGGCAGCACTAGCAATCTCTTGAACCACTGCAGTGCACTGGAAAATGTGAGTTGTGGTGTTTCCCTGTGTTAGAATTATTGAGGGGCTTTTGTTTTGTTGACAAGTGCTGAGACCATACAATGCACCAGGGCAAGATTAGCTGGGAAAATGATCTTCTGATAACATTTTGAACCCAGATGCTCCTCCTCCTTTGTTGTTTTCCTGGAACTGGGTAAATTCAGTTTTCACTTCCGTAGCTCCCCTAACAATCCCAAGGCCTGGTCTTCTGCTGCTTCCCTAGGTGGTGTGACCATTATCAGCCTGGGGGAAGATGAGCTGATTTCATCTCTTCCCTTATAACTATGACTTGGAGGCCTCATTTCACATACAAAGATTCCCTCCAAAAACTAGATGAGCAGGCCTGAGCTACCCTGGTGCTTGGAGTAATGACAGCCTTGCCCCGATGCCACTCTCTCTTCCCACCATTGTTGACTTCTGGGCCATCGTGCATTCAGTGCCTCAGTGGACAGAGAACCAAACCCAGGTACTTTCACAAATGTGGAGCCAATTCTAAAGTTTTTTGAGCTCCAGCTCAGCTCAGACCTCTGACACCTGCTTGAGACTGTGGGTGACTGTGGACACCACTGGCACCTGCTTACGACTGTGGGTGACTGTAGACTCTGAGTTGGGATGTGCTATGTCCATGCGACACTCTTCCTCCCCAAGAGTTGTTCAGGAAGGTGGTGCCCTAGGAATGCCATCTGGAACCAGTGGAAGCGGAAGGGCAGGAAGCACCTGGCACCCACTGTTCATGCCACCATGACCCATCCACAGTGTGGTAACTGGGAGATGTTTCCTCTTGATGGAAGATGTTTCCTCTTGATGAAAATCCTAAACACTAACAATAACAACAAAAAACAAAAAAGAAAAAAGAAAATCCTAATTTCTTTTCCAGCAGGACAAGTATTTTCTTGTCTTTATAGTTGAGAAGTTCAGGATCTTATAAGGCTAATTTCTCTCTTTAAGATAAGATGGCATTAGGGCACCGAATATCAATGAAATTCATGCTGATAGCCCTTTTCACAGCAGCAGCATCTTGATGCAAGTCTTTGTATTCACACGGCCATGACATAGCCTAGGAAAGTCATTCAAAGAGAAAACAGGTACAATTTTAAAAAGGGTTCCAACATTTTTTAAAAGGCATTGCTGATGAGAAGCCACACATACAGATTTCTTTAGATGGTTCCTTCGCAGCTGCTTTGGCTGAGGTTTACACTGCCAGGTCCTGAGGATGCTACTCCCTGCCCATTCACTAAGGTGAGCTCCTTTAAGGGCTATGAATAGATTGCCAGAACCAAGAGGAATTTATTTTATTAAGTTATTTTAAAATTGGGCTCATTGCTTGATGATACTGTCACATAAAAATAAAATAGGACTCCCAAAGATTTCAAGAGTATTGTGACAAGCACCTAACAACTATATCATCTGTTACCTGTGCACTTGTTCCTTCGACATAATAAACATGCACTTGTGCCAAAACATCAATTTACTCAGCGATTCAAATTCTACCCAATCCTGATTAGTTACCAAATACTGAAAGCAAATTTTAATGAGGCAGGTGTGCTCTGGGCTGTCTTGGAACATCTAAGAAGTCTCATGAGTGGAACACCAAAAGGTGCTACTTTACTTGCACATTGTGGTAGAAAAATGTATTATTCTAAAATACCACCAAGATAACAGAGACAGTGGCAATTTTAAATGTGTCAATTTCAGTGGTAATTTTCCTGTATACTCACCAAGAGTCATAAGCCATAAATCATATGTTGCCCCATGAAAGTTACCATTTTCATTAAAAACCCATGTCCTTCCTACCCAGTATTTGAAACACTGGCACCTTATACAGTCTAAGTACAAGTCTCTCAGCCACTTCTGCTTTGTCTAATAAACTCATGGGACTGCACTGTGCTATATACACTAGATGATAACATGAATTTGCAAACTGCGTAAGTAAAAGACAGTCAAGAGTGGTAAGTGTACTGTGTATGTAGATATAATTAGGAATACAATTGCATTTATTCACATATTGTTATGTGAATGGGTAGAGGTTAAAAATAAAACCCACTAAGAACAGACTAAATTTAATTAACAATGTGGTCACAGCAGAAAGGATATCAATAAATTTTTAAGAATATGGATCCTTGACCGGGCCTGGTGGCTCATGCCTGTATTCCCAGCACTTTGGAAGACTGATGTGGGTGGATCACCTGAGGTCAGGAGTTAGAGACCAGCCTGACCAACATGGAAAAACCCTGTCTCTCCTAAAAATACAAAATTAGCTGGTGGTGGTGCATGCCTGTAATCCCAGCTACTCAGGAGGATGAGGCAGGAGAATCACTCAAACCTGGGAGGTGGAGGTTGCAGTGAGCTGAGATCGCACCATTGCACTCCAGCTTGGGCAACAAGAGTGAAACTCTGTCTCAATAAACAAACAGATAAATAAATAAAAGAATATGGATCCTTGTATAAACCATAAAAGAAAAGAAATATGTTGCCAAAGAACAAGTTTTTTGGTCTGTTAATTTTAAGCCTTTCATTTTCCTAAACGCTACTTAATATGATTTTGTCACAGATGCTGGCTTCTGTGGCTGACGGTAAACTCTGCTTAGTGACTTCACATCCTTACCTTCAGTCTCTGGGCTTTATCTTTGTGAAGAAAACGAAATAGAAAATACACGTCATGGTCATTTGCCAAGGCACGCAGGTCAAAGTAATATTTTACATAAACACTGGCAGACACATGAATATTAAACTCAAGTAGCTCCAAAAAACACTTCTCCATCTTGCTCCTGGGGTAGAAGAAACACAATTAAACCAACATAGGACAGTTTCTAGTCAAGTGGGTTATCTTTAAAAATATCCTTCTGAGCTACTGGGATGCTCTAAATTCTGTTCTGAAGCAAATAAAGGCTGCCTGGTTGGGTTCCCACACTAATGTCCAAGCAAGACACAGCTGCTTGGGGTCTCTTCTGCCTCCCAGCACCCCAAGTTTGGGATGAGGGAAAGGTGGAAGCCTCTTCTGCATTCATGGTGCTGACTCGGGGCTCATTCTTCAGAGTTCCCTTAGGGCAGCTGCACAACTCAAACTCCATGCTCATTCACAAGCCCCGCAATAGCAATCCCATGACAGGAATGACGGGTGCCATTTATTAGCTCTGAAGGACCTCCATGCATTTTTACCAGGACGACAACAGGAAGGGCCTTACTGAAGAAGAGAAGAACCAATAAGAGGACTGGGCGCATCACCACTGCCACAAATGGACCCATGGAGAACCAGCCTATTATCTCAGAGGAGGAAAATGTCTAAGGCTACAAGGAGGATTCATCCCAAATAAATACATAAGCAAGCTACATTCCATGGCAACAAGAATCCCTTTCCCTCTGCTCCAGCACACAAGGCTATGTCAAGGGGGCATAATGCAGGTTTCTGCTCACCTCAGTACTATGAAGAGGTGAAACTGCCACTATGACGGGGCAAGGATAATCTTTAATCTTCAAAGTTTGAAAGGCAGAAAAATCAAGGAGAGACATTTTGCTAGACTAAACCCACTTTATGATGTGATTTCTAGGAGGGCCCTGGCCTTATACATGCAGTGTTGCTGCTGAGTTGGGAATGCAACCCTGAAATGCTCAGCATCTGTCACCCCTGGACAGAACGGGATGTGGGGAGTTGAATGCACTGGGAGAGGAAAGGGCTGGGAGCCATCCTCTGCCATATGGTCATCCAGCCATCCTCACCAAGGCTAAATTAATAGGTACACAGAGTAAATCTGGCTGCTTTCAGAGTAACCTGTGTCATGAGGTAATTGGTTAAAAATAATCAATATCTAAACAACACATTTGGTTTCTTGGGCTGAAAGCTTTGATATTTTACCTACTGGCTAAGTCAACAAATGCTTGATGTTTTCCTGTAAGGGGGACAGTTAGACCACGAGCCAAGATGTGGAGATCTCATTTGCTGAACTTAAAACCCAGCTGAACCTAATTCCAAAATTAATTTCCTGTTCACATGTCCGTAAGTCTATAGAAATGTAAATCAAATGATATTTGAATAGACAGCTGATCAGTACCTGAGTTACTAAAGGAATCAATAGCACTTCATAATCCCTTTTTATTTTCTCCACTAGTACATTGTAACTGTGTAGAAATACAGTACTTTACAGAATTAACATGTCTCTTAATAGAGGTTTACTCACTGAAGAAAAGCATTCTGTACATAGAATATGCATCTTCTGGGCTCTGTGGTTTTTTATAATGGCTAGATGATTGAAGAGCATAACCTTTACAGACACAGCAAACTTTCTGAATAGTGGCTACTCAGTTTAACTTACTCTTTAGAAAGGACAGATATTCTAGGAAGACATATAGATGTTGGAAATTTTTAAGAAAAATCCGATAGACATCAATTTTTAACTATTAAATTTACACTCAAAATGGGACCATTGCAAACAGTCAACAGCAGGGGGCTGAGACAAATGTCTATTAAATGCTTTGACATCATGCTTTTCAACTTCCCAAGATCATAAACAGAAGCAGCCTGCTCGGAGCATAGCTCCTGGTGTTTCTCCGTTCACACAGCAACAGCACTGTTTGGAACTGATCGTCTTGGAGCTGGGCTCTGCCCCACTGCTCCTGGAGCTCACTTCCGTGGAAACCTGCACAGATCCCTGCATGCGCTCTGATCCTGTGACTAGAACTCAGAGCCCCAGTCAGCTGAGCTGCAGGTTTTGAGAACAATTCAGCTGTTCATGATTACAAATTTGAAACCGCCTTTGCAGAAATTGTAACTGAGAAAATCATGACAGTGAAAGAGAGCTGATCTAACTGACTTTATCTTGCTTCGAACCTCCAAGCTGTCCTTGTTCATTCCTAGGCAGAGGCCAAACTAACTTCAGGAGAAACATAGTTTATAGTTTAGCTTGGAAACCAAGACAGTAACAGCCCTTTCCCAAAACAAACCTGCTTCCTGCCTGGGGACTGGACTGCCTTTCCAGGACTAACAAATTAGCCACAAGATTAGAAATTATGGTTGAGGAGTCATACGGCTGAAGCCTGCAAGAGTCTGAACCTCCCCATATTGCTCCTGGGAATAGCATCACTATTGTTAAACCTAAGACCAGAACTTGAGATATTTTGCAGACCCTGCACTGGGATCAGGTGGCACCACCTCAATCAATAAACTTCGTTTATCTGGTTTTGTGGCCCCCACCCAGGAGCCAACTCAGTGCAGGAGGACAGCTTCAACTCCCTCTGATTCCATCTCTGATCTGACCAATCAGCACTCCCCTCTTTCTGACCCCCTACCCACCAAATTATTCTTTTAAAAACCATCCCAGAGTTTTTGGGAGACTAATTTGAGTAATAGTAGCACACTGGACTCCCACACAGCTGCCTCTGTGTGAATTAAACTATTTATTGCAATTCCCCTATCTTAATAAATCAGCTCTGGCTAGGCAGCAGGCAAGGAGAACTCAGGCAGTCACAAATCTTGCTTTCTTCAAGGAACCAGTTTACAAAAGGATGACTATGATCAAAGCCACTTTAGCGTTTGGAACTTCCAAAGTACTTCCGTTTGTTTCAAATTCATTTGCTGTCACACTCTTTGTTAAAATGGCTATCAGAAATGTCACCATGATCACTTGGTTTATACTATTAGCAAAGTGGTGGCAAAAATGGTTTTTTGTTTTTCTTTTTGAGACAAGGTCTGGCTCCTTCACCCAGGGCTGGAGTGCCATGATGTGATCATAGTTTACTACAGCCTCAACTTCCCAGGCTCAGGCAATTCTCCCACCTCAGACTCCCAGGTAGCTGGGACTACTACTGCCTGCCACCATGCCCAGCTAATTTTTTTAAAAAACATTTGGTACAGACAGGGTTCACTGTGTTACCCAGCAGGACTTCAACTCCTGAGCTCAAGCGATCCACTCACCTCAGCCTCGCGAAGTGCTGAGATTACAGGCATGAGCCACTGAGCTCAGCCGCAAAGGGGTCATTTTTGAACGTAGATATACTCTGAGGTGTATCTACAATAGACACTGTATCTTCAATTGTAGACGTACACTGAGGTGATTGTGAATGACAGTATTATCTGGAGTCATAAGTAAAAGTCATAACACTAACTCGTGCCAATGCCTGGCATGATCTTGATCTACTGCTGCTGCTCAATGTAAACAAAACTGCTCCTTGTCTTGCACAGATGCAGCCCACACAGCTGTCCTCACTGTCTAGTAGGCATCCATGAAGGCTCTGCTGGAAATGCCTCCCTGCTCACCCTGCCTGCCAGCTCCAGGGCCCCTCCCTTCACAGCAGTCATGAGGCTGGATTGGAAGGGAGCCCTGGTGAAGCTGTGTTTCAGTGTCATGTTGGTGCATCTGGGAGGAACCCCATGACTCTGCAAGGCTCCTCACATGGTCATGGGCAATTCCAGGCCCAAAGAGTGCTGCTGCAGATATCTGAGTACCCATGGAGACTTGAGAGTGTGGTGGGCATGTGTTGATGCCCCAGAATGCTTCTCACACTGTGGTTGGTGAACGCTGGAGCTTCTAACTCATCAGACCAATTTCCAAATACATGCAACACTCTCAATGGGGAGGGACCAGAGCACAGGAATCTGTGGCTATTTAACTTCATTTCTCAAGGTTCCTATAAAAACAGATCTTCAGATAAAAGGGAGAAGAAAGGGCCAGCAAAAGCAAATACACAATGGGTGACTGAAGTTGAAGCCATAACTTCCCCATAGTCCAGAGGCCTTATGATCTTAACAGTGGCCAATTATTTCAAAGGCCAGATGTTTACCCCTTAAAAGGGGACTGAAACTGGCAGATAGCTTCTAAAAAGCTATAAAGATATTTACTCTACCTTATCATTCTGATAGTACACTTGTAAGAGGTTTGCCAGAAAACAATCAGAAAAATACTTTTCAGTTTAGCAAGCAGGTTATTACAACAATAACACATCAAGCCCTACTCATTAATGCTGGAAAATACAAACTGTTACACTAACGCTGGATAGAGAGAAGTCTGTGGTCTTATACCTATTTCCTTTACCTGCACAATGAAACCTATAAAGATATTTCTTACAATCTTAACTTAGAGAACAAACGAGGCATGGAAACTGGTTACAAAGATCGCCAAAATCTGACAAACTCACATGTTCTCAACTGCAACGTCCTGGGGATTCTGGCTGTCATCCTCACTCCACAGACCACGGTTTCTCCAAACCTTGGAGGCAAGACGTATGGCTCCGAGGACAATCTTTTTCCAATTAGTAGGACAAAGATCGATGTTAGCACTAGTTAAAAGTCGTTCAATGTATACCTGCAAAATAGAGTGCTGGTCTTTGATTTCAGTTCAGTGTAAGCGTGGTGATAAGAACATTTAAGAATGAAAGATTTCTTCTGGTTTTGACCAGAAGGTAAGTGCCTTTTATCCTTATGTTCCACAGAGACTTTGCTCAGACAAAGCAAGAGGCCAAATCACAGTCATAGTCAGATACCTCTGCAGCCTACTCTGTCCATAGACATTTCCAGCCCAATTTTGGTCACAGGGATGACTGCACATTCCTGGGCATGAAGAGAGGCACCATCAGCACCTTCACACTCATGAAAGGCAGCACAAACTCAGGCCCAGTGCAGATTAAGGTTGTTCAGGAAACGCTCCAGCGCCGTCCGTGTGCTGGGTCACACCTGGTCGGCAGGTAGATGGGAATTTTACAGGTGTGCCATGCTTGAATATGTAACACCCAAGTGATACTGAGGACACTGCTGTCTTCTCCTTTTCACAATAACTAACCCACTCTTGGGACACCCGCGGAGGAACTGTGGTCCAGAGCACTTCCCAATGCCTGCCGTGCAGACAGCATGACAAGTGCAGGTCTCTGTGGCTTAGAAATAATCTCCATATTCAGTGCTTGATAAGGAACACATGTGTATGAAAGGAGAGTCCTGCTCACAGCCCCTATTTTCCATGTCTCCATAATCACTTCATGAAAACTCTTTTCTTGTCCTACAGTATCTGCATTCAGTCAATTCGGTTAGCTTGAAGGCAGAGACAGCTGTCGGCCTCTGTATGCCTGGAGTTCCTCTAAACCTGCCAAGCAGTTTGTGAGACAATCTCAGGAAGTATTTTCTATCTATCCAATCTCTATCCTATAAAGAACTGGGTGAGGGACC